ACCAGTAGAAACAGCAATTTGTGACAAGTGACAAAAAAAAAAAATGAGTGATGGTTTCACTGTGCTTCTACTCTTCTCTCTCCCTGACCCCACATACTGTCTCTCACCCCCAAAAAGGCGAGGAAGCGAAAGTCCTTTTAAGACTGCCTGCTTAGCATCTGTTCCTGAAGCCAGGCCTAGCAAGATTGGATGATACACCTTGAGTGCCATCCTCCCAAAATGCCCAGTGCTCAGAGCCATGCCTGGCCCTGCAACCTCGCCTTCCACACTAGTAATTTATTCCCTGAAACAAGTCACTCACCCTCCCTGGTCCTGTCTTTCGTTTTTTCATTTGAGGACCCGGGGAAATGGAAGGAATGAAGGGGATGATGAGCAGCCCTGGCCAGAGCCAGCTCTCCTTTCTCAGCCTGTCCCTTGGCTCCCTGAGCCACTCAATGAGGCCCTGGTTGTGCAAATGCAGTGATTCCAAGTGGTGAAATCCAAGCGTTAAAGGCTAATGTGTGGCAGTTGTCATGACCTTGAAAACGAGTGTTTGGAAACTGACTGTCTCTGTGATGCCTCACAGCTTCACTTGATATGAATTTCCTCCCCACAAATCGCAAACACCACTTCCTAATTTCTCCTGGATGCTCTTCCAACCTCCCTAATGGGAGAACAGACCTTCTGGCCACTCTCCCCAGTCTTCTCAGCCCCTGGAAGAAGGTTTGCAGGAAAGAGGTTTAACCCAGTGGTCGGCAAACTCATTAGTTAACAGAGCCCAATATCAACAGTACGGCGATTGAAATTTCCTTTGAGAGCCAATTTTTTTTTTAACTTAAACTTCTTCTAACGCCACTTCTTCAAAATAGACTCGCCCAGGCCGTGGTATTTTGTGGAAGAGCCACACTCAAGGGGCCAAAAAGCCGCATGTGGCTAGCAAGCAACAGTTTGCCGACTGGTTTAGAGGGAAAGTTGGAGTTTCCCTTTGTTTTATTTTCAGTTGCGGTCCCCCCTCTCCCATAAACCATGCACACTTTGCAATGCTCAGTTAACCTCTTCCTTCTCCAGAAAACCCTTCTCCATGTCTCCACCCCCTTAGTGGCCCCTAGCCCTCTGAAGTTCTGTGGCCACCTAGAGTCCCAATCACAAAGTTATCCTTTAATAAGAATAAGAATTTCCATTGTGTGAGCACTTACACTGGGGCAGATGTTTTAATTGCATCGTGTCCCTTGAACCAGTGGTTCCCAAACTCATCTGTTCTTGGGAGTCGCCTGAGGAGCTACAAGTAACTATGGACACCTCTGTCTCACCTAAGAACGTATGATTTAATTGGCCTAGTGTGTGTCCTGGGCTTTGGGATTTAATACACTCCCACCCACCCACCTATGTGATTCTGTGAGCAGACAAATTTGGTAACCCCTGACGTAATCATAGATCACTTTGAGGTAAGAACTAAAATCACCCCCTCTTTACAGAAGAAGAGCCTTAAGCAAACCTGAGTAACTTGCCTGAGCTCACATCAGCCTTAGGGGGGCCAGACTCTGCAGTCCAGTTGTGTTGTCTGAGTCCTTGCTATTCAAAGTGAGGTCTGAAGACCAGCGGCATCACCTGGCAGCTGGGTTGAAATGCAAACCGGTGCCCCACATCCTCAGACCTACCGAATCTGTGCTCCTGGAGTGGGCACTGGGGTGTGGTAACACGCCCTGCAGGGCATTCTGCTGAAGCCTGACAACCACAGCTCTAGTCAGTCAGAATGCGCTGAAGGTCACGGTCATGTGCTGCAGCCTGGGGAGCTCCAGCTCCAGCCTGCCAGGGGTTATCTGACCTTACTGTACCTGGGGGTCATCTGGACTGCCATTTAAAATTACCCACCTTGGAGAACTTTTTCAGGCCAGAAATCCTGCAGTTACTCTGCTTTCTGTGCTGTTTCAGGTTTGTGCATTTTAAAGCCCACAGTGACCCCTTTGGAGGCAGGGACCACATCCTGCTACCCTGCAGCCTCCTGTTGTGAGGCACACAGCAGGGCTCGGTAGCAGGTGCCTCAATGGACCCAGCTCCGGGACACCCCGCTACTGAACCTGGTCAGAGCCTCCCTTCAGAGCTGAAGTCTGCTGCCTTAGGATTAGGGTGTGTGGAGGCACAGCCTCTCCTGGACTTTGTGCAGGTAACACTGGGCTGCAGAAGGCAGTCAAGCCCAGCCTCCATCTGAGGAGAGGAGTGTTTGTTCTGCTCCTACAGGTGCCACAAAACCACTGGTCTTCACAGCCAGGCATGGAAAGTCTGCATCCAGAAAGAAGCATACTTTCCCCCTCCTCCTCCTCCTCCTCTTCTCCTCCTCTTTTTCTTTTTAAAAAGCAAAATTATAACTTGACACAAATCCAAGCAGTTGAAAAGATACTAAAAGAAACCCAATTTAGAAAGGTTTTTGTAGGCTAAAAACAGATGTGGCGCACCATTTCAGGATGTTCCGGGAGAGGAGATGGAGAGGGCGGGGTTGGAAGTGGCTGGTCCGCCTCTTCTGGGTCCGCCTGCACAGGTGCTCTGCACAGGAGAAGGCTCTGTCCACAAACTCGTTCTGGAAGGAAGCAACCCCAAGGCTCCCTTTCTCCTAATTACTGCTCATTATAGAGCAACTGGCAGTGGCCTGAGTTAGCATCTAACCAAGGGTGTTGGAGCAGATCAGGTTTCTTTCCGTAGTTCACTCTCTTTGCGGAGAAAACGGTGGCATCTGACCCATACGGGCTTGGCTGGTCCTTGGGCAACCTCGGGATCTCCTGGCTATAGCTCCCTCGTATACTGGAATATTTGAGATGTAAATCTTTGAAATATTATGGGTAAATCATAATATGTGTAAGTATTTATACTTTGTAAAGTCACAGATTATGTTCCCATTGTGGGGGGTGGGGCCGGGGGGACTAAAAATGGGAACTAAAAATTTATTGAAGGCAGAGACTATCTTTGTCTTCTGCTGCACTATATCTGCAACTCCTGATGTGTCTGGCCTACCTCTTGCCAAGTAAAGGTAGTAAGGCCTATCTAAAACCTCACTGAATCAGCAGCCAGGAAGTTTCATAGGAAGCAGCTAAGATAACAGCCAGCAGGTACCACTCTGGAAGCATTAGAGTACCAAGGTGCTTGGCATTCTGGGAGAGGTCACCTCAGTCCATATTTCTTTTTGTAAACTTCCCCAATCTGGGATTTTCCTTCCTACACTGACCCTATCATTGTCTCCATAAAATTCAGTTCTACACCTGTCTATTGATATCCAGTGTCTCTGGGACACGGTATGAGATATTGCAGGATTTACAGAAATAAGCAATAAGATGCCTTTACATGGTGGCATGTAATAGGCAGGTATCAAGCATTCTAGTAAAATATGCACATTTCATCAGAGGACCAAAAGAGAGACACTCACATCTAGACTTTGAAGGGGTGTGGCATTTGAGATAATCTTTGAAGAAAGGATAAAATTTTCAGCTGGGAGTATGGGTGTGAGCAGAACCTTCTAAACGGAAGGAATGGCATGGATAGGAATCTGGATCATGAGATCTGTTTGGGGTTCATGCAAATTACTTCTCTCTGAACATAGTGGCTAGAAAGGAGAGTAGTAAAAGCTAAGGATAAGCCCAGTAGTTGTGGCCAAAGGATAAAGTACCTTACATGCTAGGCCCATGTGCAACTTCTATTACATGTAATTTCTATTGGAAATAGACGCTTATTGAGCAGAGCAAGTAAATGCCATTGGCTGTACCCTCTGGCGGGTTTTTCCTGGTGCTGGTATGAATAGAATGTTCATGCAGAAAGTTGCCAAATCCTAAACCAAGATTATGGCAAAGGGAAAAAAAGTTGGAAAACATATTGGAGAGGAATTTCAAAAAATGTCTTACACCTCGCAGTTGGTTGGGTCTTAGAGACGGATCACTGATTTTGTGCCTGGGTAACTGGGGAAATGAAGCATCGTTAACATAGGGAATCATGAGTGTAGTTGATGGGGGACAAAGAATTCTCTTTTAGACATATTGCCTTTGAGGTGCTGGCAGGACCTCCGAGAGAGATGCCCACAAAAGAGGTTAGAAATGGAATTCAGCACTTAGAGAGTGGGGCCAGAGGCACAGAAGTGGTGACAAGCATGGATGAAGCTGCCAGGAATGCAATACAGACTCGCAGAGGCTCAGACGGAGCCCCGAGGACACCTGAATGACTGTAACTCTAAGTTGGGAAAACCACACAATTACTTCCTTTTTCAGGGGGGAAAAAAAATCTAATCTGACTGTTGGCTTTGATTTCCTGCTCACTCCTCCTGCTCTTTCCTCATCCCAAGCTTTTGCTGAAGTCTGCAAGAGCTACAGGACCCAAAAAAACTTACTTGGAGAAGTCAAATCTAACAAATTCCTTCCACCTGAAAAATCCTCAGATTAGAGGCTTTCAATAATATGGAAAGACTGTGTTCAGATTTTGCCAAGGTTTGTGTATTGACTTTACTTGGATTTAAATGAACCTGTAGTTCTAAATTGGGAAAAACACATGGCTACTTTCTCAGAAAAGAAAAGAAAAAAAAAAGGAAAATTTTTTTTTAATTCTGATCTTACTGTTGGCTTTGATTTCCTGCTCACTCCGTCTCAAAAATGTTCAATCGATTCCTGAAATTGGAAGTAATTTAAAATTCAGAGGAGCTAAATATTGCAAACTACCTTTTATAGTTGATTTTTCCAGGCCATTCCCTACGTTGAGATAAACAGGAAATGAATGGTTATGTAGCTGGGATATTTGCACTATAAACACGATCTGTTAACTTTAGACCCATTTTCCTAGCTTTGCTCCTTTTATAGCTCACGTTTTGTCTTCTTCTGGGGAGAGAAGAAAAGCGTACATGATCTAAAAAAATAAATCTTGCTCTGTAGTGTGCAGCTTAACTTCTGGTCTTCATGCAAATTTTATCCTGTAAATCATTCTGTGACCCATCATTTGGGAAACTACAAAATAAACTCTAAACCCTTTATTTCCTTTTTTGTTTTCTAAAGGTCAAATGCTGCAAATACTGGCCAGACGACACGGAGATATATAAAGACATTAAAGTCACCTTAATAGAAACAGAACTACTGGCAGAATATGTAATAAGAACATTTGCTGTTGAAAAGGTAAGTTTTCACACTGCAGACTTTGAAAAGCCATGGCCAGACATTAGTGGTGCTAGCCTTATTCATTTACTAAGCTAATCTGTACATGGTCACACCTGAATGCAGGTAGACTCTACCTAGTAATTTCTCAAGATTGCATCTTGCCCTTTGATTCTGTAACAGCTCAGTTCCATCTTTGAAGCAAATCATTCCCATTTAATAAGAGCCTATATTTTGCAGTTACACCAAAAGATAATCAAAAGATAATGCCTATCTGTCTGTTTCCTTTTTCTTTTTAACCTGGTTGATATTGTTCAGCTGCTGCTGCAGCTGCTGCAGCTGCTGCTGCTGCTGCTGCTGCTGCTGCTTCTTCTTCTTCTTCTTCTTCTTTTCTCTCTCTCTCTCTCTCTCTCTCTCTCTCTCTCTCTCTCTCTCTCTCTCTCTCTCTCTCTCTCTCTCTTCATTCACTGGCAGTTTAATAAATGCCTTCATGTTGTATGTCCATGTGGGTTTCCTGTAATAAGTATCTGTGTTGAGACCCAAGTCCTAACTCCTTCTGGAATCCCTCTGCTTCCTGAGGCTTTTCAGGCCTCTGGTTTCACATGGACTGATGGATTTTCCAGGTAGAAGTGACTTACCTGGAAACCTAGGTCACCCTTGCATGAACCAACACCCCATTTGTACTCACTTCCATACTGGTCTCAGCCTTTTGTACTTGCTGGTGGTGAATGCTCTGCCTTAGCTCTCCTCTGCCTCATCCCATGTGCATGGATGGGGCTTCTCCGGGAAGCACTGTAGGGCATAACAGGGAATTTCCTTATTCCCCCTCTTTCTGCTGACATAGGGAAGGGCCGAAAGTGAAGCAAACTGCAGTCCACCCAGAGAAGTGTCACAGGTAGGCTGTGGGACAGTGGAGGTGACGTGGCTGAGAAACACTCTGCCTGCCAGTCAGTCCTCATCTTGCCTCCGATGAGGGGGACACATGATATCGTGTCTGGGGTCCACAGACTTTGTGTCAAGAGCTGCTTCTCCAGAACTCGGCCCTGCAGTTACACTGGGCAGAGCAGTTTTGTTGTGAATTTGTTCAGTGCAGGCTGGTGCTCATTTACACTGTCAGGTCCTCTTAGAGGACCTGGATTATCCGTGGGCTGCTGGGTAGTTGGCTCTTGGCCTTCTCCTCTACTCTATATTTGTACTTTTTGGGTTAGCAAGACCGGTTTAAATAAGTTGTTTATTGGTTAATTTAACTCTTCTGTTTTGAACTACCTATCTGGGTTGCAAATTCATATTTGTCAGAGAATCACAAGACTGAAAAGATTTTATTTTAGTCTGTTTCTAATACTATTTTTTTTAGCCTGTCATTTTAATAAGCAGGCAGGAGACTTGGGGACTTCAAAGAATGTGGAGTTCTAGTTGCCTCAATTCTTCAAGTTCTGAACCTCACACTTCGATTTTTTTTTTTTTTCCATCTTAAGCAGGTTTGGGGGAGGATTTCTGTACAGCTCTTAGCAAAAACACTCATGAATTACATTAAAACAGATAGCGATAAAAGATCCTCAATATTTTTTCTTTTTTAAAAAAATCATCCAAAGCCATCGCTTAAACATAGAGTTCTTTGAACAGTAGTCAGCTCTCTAATAAGCTGAAAATGCGTCTCTGGTGCTAAAGGAAGGGTTTGTTTGTTTCTTTGCTCTTTTTTTAACCTCTTATTATACTCTCTTGCATCCCCAGGTACACAGAAATGTTTTAGAAATACCCAGTTATTTTAGTCACCAGACAACTAGTGAAGAGGTGGTGGAAGGGAGGGAAGGGGAGCTTTTTTAGGCTCTGAGGGAAATTAAAATGACCTGTTTGTGATTTTCCAACTGGGCAATTGGAAACTTTGAGGAAAACAAATCATTAGCACTTCCACGGAGCACTCCTTGTGGATTTTAAACTTTCTCATTAGAAGCAGGGGAAACAGTCAATCATATACTGTGCGAGCCCTGCAATTCTGAGAATATGTTGCATCAAGGGACCGAAGGTGAAAAATGGATTTGGGCTCCACTTTGCAGAACAAGCAAACACATTGCAATCTGAAACTGATGAAGCCCTGTTCTGCATGGGACTGTCATCTTTCCTTTCCCATGTAGCTAATAACTCAAAGCTAAACAGATATTAAGTAAGGTAAAGTGCCCACTGTGTCAGGAGGAAGACAGCTTAAAAGTCCCCATGGAACTCGGCTATCTGGTGAATCTATCCCAGTCTAACCTGGCAGAAAGGAAGCTGATAATGGCTACCAAATTCTCTCTACCTAGGAGGTGTGTGGGGTTCAGAGAAGGCAGTGAGAATATGAACTGACTGCCTCAAAGACAAAGCATGCACAGATATGTATTAAGTGCATACTTTGTTCTAGGCACTTATTGTATATCTTGAGTTCTTCTTTCCCATTAAATTACATGGAAAAAATTAAGTGAATATTACTTTTTTATATTGCATTAATACTTGTTATGATGAAAAATAAACAAAAATGTAATGGTATCAAATTGGGAAGTATTTGTAACTGTGATCATTAATCACATCCACCATTCAAACACCCCCTCCCCTCTAATGAATTGACTCAGAAACAATTCTCTTTGCTAATCTTGAACATGGAAGAGGGTGGAGGTTTCTTTTGGGAAAAGGGCATTTATCTTGCTCCGAAAGTGAGTCTTAAAGAGAACGGTTGGGGGCCCATCTCATGATGGATGAAGTTTGGGACTTGGGAATGCTGGGGCTGAAATCTAGCAAACCTAGAAGGGGAAGTTCTCAAAAAATAAAAATTAAGAGGAAAATCAGTATATGGGGGGGAAATGCCCTTCAGTGGTCCTTGGAATAAGCAAATATGTATTATAGACATTTCCACTGTGTGGGACCACAACTGACCCAGTTGTCACACCTAAAGCTAGGGGAACTCTCTAGTGATTTGGAGGGTGACCCAGCTCAACCCTCTGTCTTCTAATAGAGACTTTGGGACTGGCTACAGTGTCAGCAATAAGGAATGTGGGCTCCTAACCACCTTGTAATGTTACTTTGGGGGTCACAGAGCATCTGTAGCAGATAACAGTGTTGATTTTTATTCATGACTCTCTGATAGCTTTAATACCTTAATGCCTAAACAGCATTAAAGAATAGCATGATTTTCAAAGAGAGCTAAAGCTTCAACTTTTGTGGGTTATTAAACTAAGACATGTTAATACACTTACAGCAAGCAAGTCTTATCTTAAAATCTATAATTGTCGGCCTCTTCCAATCTTTCAAAGCACATAAAATTCTGAATTTCTTTGCTCATAAGTATGTGTGAACAATGACTGATGGTGAATGTGATAAGGTTAGTGAGTTCTATGTGTTATGATAAATAAAACCACAGTCAGGGATTAACACAGAAATGGTAAATAGTCACTAAATGAGGCAGGAGAAAATTCAGTTTAACCTCAAATTTACATCCAGCCTTGATTCTAGAAGTGATGGTTGTTTTTAAAACAGACTTTGGTTTTAAGACACAGTCTTATAACATAGGCTCATGGTTAGGAAAAAAATTGTTGGATATATATAAACTAAAATATTCTCAAAACAAGAATAAGTTTTTTAAAAACAAAACCTTAAGGTTCTTTTCTTCTGCCTTCCCTTCACTTCAGTGTCAGGCAGCTCTCCCACTTCAGTTTACTGATCCAACAAAGAATTTTAGCAAATATATATTTGCTTACATACCTGTTTTCCAAAAGCCAGCTGCAACAACCTGAACACAGGAGGCACTGTCTGAATACCTCTGTGTCCCCAGCAGTTAGGGTCACACCTGAAGGAAGCATTGCATTCACTCAGATGGTCACTGAACAGATGAATGGATGAAATGTTTACCCAGACTAAAAAAGAGAAATCTAACAAAATGAATTGCAAATGGAAAAAAATTAGTTCTCTGGCCTATGTAGTTGAAAAGTAGTCCTCATTCATTCTTCCAGTGACATTCTCTACGCATCCACAGTGTGTACACTGCTCAAGGGCCCCGGACAAAGGAACCAGAACATAGAAGAGAGGGAACAGGGTCTTGCATTTTAGTGGCTGATCGCTTGAGCACATAGGTCCCTGTTCTGTGCCTCTCTCTCTATGAACTCACACTTCACCCTTAGGATCTAAGTGTCACACAAACTCTTCACTGAATCTACTTTTTAGAAAGGAATTTCAAGGACTCAAAGAGATCCATCCATTCATTTGCTGGAACTGCACCTGTCAGTTAGTACTGTCCCCAGACATCACCTCCCCTTCCACCCGAGTACCTTCCTGCCTGTGGTAAGGTTTTCAAAGTGCGTACAATATCTAAGAATCACCTTCTTCCCAGAGACCCAGGGTTTCTATCCCTAGACTTTCTGGCTGCCGAGGGGTACCCGAGGCTCTCTTGGTTGCTCATCATGTGTTTCCCTTTGTTCTCTTCCTGCATTGTGCTGACTGGGAATGACAGAGGGGCGTTCATGAAATCCGAGAGATCAGACAGTTTCACTTCACTGGCTGGCCCGATCACGGGGTCCCTTACCATGCCACAGGGCTGCTGGGATTCGTCCGGCAGGTCAAATCGAAGAGCCCGCCCAACTCAGGCCCGTTGGTGGTGCACTGCAGGTGAGTAGCACGCCCAGAGCCTCTGGGAAGACGCACAGAGGGCAGTGGGTGTGGGTCTCCTTTGGGTGGGGAAAATGCTTTGGAAACCAATGGAGGTGAAGGTTGCACACCATTGTGAAGGTGTGAAATGCCACTGAGTTGCACACTTTAAATGGTTCATTTTATGTGAGGTGATGTGAATCTCGCCATCACATGATAAGTTTTTTTTAAAGAAGCAGCTACACAGGGGTCCTTCTCCTCCTCTAATAGATATCTCTCTCCATCAGTGCTGGTGCTGGGAGGACCGGCTGTTTCATCGTTATCGACATCATGTTGGACATGGCGGAAAGGGAAGGCGTGGTGGACATCTATAACTGTGTCCGGGAGCTACGGTCGCGGAGAGTGAACATGGTGCAAACGGAGGTACTGTGCTCCCATCGGTCCCCATCAGCTCCTGAGCTGGTCCCCTGGGGCCTCTGGTGCATCCCTACCCCCCAGAGAGCCAAGGAGAAAAGAAGCGCAGGCAATTCTCACTCCTAAACTCCCTAAAAGAAAAAGTGACACACCTGGCAGCCTTTCTTTCCCTCCTCCTTGCTTCCTTTTGTTTTTCCTTTCATAAACAAACACAAAAGGCCACGAGTCTTGCAGGTTACAGAATCCGTAGCCATGAGCCTAAATCTTCGAGAGTGTCCGGGTCAAGGAGCCCAGTGGAGTCTCTGCATTAAGGCTTCAGGCTTCCAATTCCATTTCTTCTTCTTATGCCTTCAAACTAGCTGGTAACCAGGGCAAGGTCACTCCTCAGAATAGCCAGGCAGTTGCCAGGTGACTCAAGGGTCGTATCTGTACATTTTGTTCCTTTCCTGGTCCCTAAAAATTCCTCCCAATGACTTGGTATCATGGGAATTTGCCCATTTTATAGGAGCACTATGTACCAACCAGTACTTCCATCAACTAGAATTCGAAGTGTATCAGGAAGTTGAGTTTTTGAGGAAAATAATTAGATCCTACTCATAGGAAATTCATGTTTTTACTAATATGTGATTGTTTTAAGTAAGCATTACACTCACCACCTGGAAAATTATCTGTGAAATAGAAGAAGAACTAAAAACAATCCAGTACATTTTTTTTTTTGCGCATAAAGTTTACACAAGGCACTGGAAACCCTAATTTATTTATTTATTTATTTAGTTTTAGCTAACAAAGAAAAATAGCAGAAACTTTAAATGCTATTTTCCTGGTCTTTTTCTCGTTAGAGTAGGAATTCTTTGTTTTAAAGATAATAATGATGATGTACTTTTTAAATAAATTTTTATTGATTTCAGAGAGGAAGGGAGAGGGAGAGAGACAGAAACATTTATGAGAGAGAAGCATTGATAGGCTGCCTCCTGCATGCCCCTTTCTGGGGATCAAGCCTGCAACCAAGGCATGTGCCCTTGACCAGAATCAAACCTGGAACCCTTCAGTCTGCAGGCCAACACTATCCACTGAGCAAACCGGCTAGGGCAATAATGTATTTTTAACATACTTTACAATTGATCAAATGTTGTCTCATCCATTTTCCCACTTGCTTCTCTTTTTTGAGGTGATGTTGAATAGCAGTGGCAGTTTTGAGAATTAAGAGTCCTGGTTATTTATAGAAATTAAAGTAAAAAGTAATGAGACTGTTTTGCATCTCAAGTAATTAAAAGTTGATAATACATATGGTAAAACTTTAGTAAATAATTGTAGATAAAGTCAGTGCCAGTTCTGAATTAAAGGACCCATTCTTACTATTTTTAAAATACTTTTTTATATATATATCTAAGAGGAAGGGAGAGGGAGAGAAAGATGGAAACATTAGTAAAAAGAGAAAGAATAATTGATTGGCTCCCTCCTGCATGCCCACACTGGAGATCGAGCCAGCAACCTGGGCATATGCCATGATCAGGAATTGAACCTTGACCTTCTGGTTTACAGGTTGCCACTGAGCCATGCTGGCCAGTCTAAAGACCCATTTTAAACTGTGGACTTGTAACCTACAAACAAATGCCCTTCTCTGGACACATAAAGACTTTTGTAATTATCACATTCATTAATATTTCAAAGTAAATAGTTCTAAGTGCTCAGAACTGATTTTTCACTGTAATGTCAAGTTTCCCTTCACCTTCTCTGCATTATTAATTTGGTCAGCAATTTTTTTTATCATAGATGGATAAGATTCTGCTCATTTCCTCATCTGAAATACTGAGTTTCAAACCCATGGGATCAGAATTACCCAAGTAGGTTAGCCACAGTTACTCTAGCATCACAGTGCTTGCTCTAGTATTTATCAGCATCTGATTGGTTTTAATCGGTCCATATAAGACTTTAATCACTCCATGTAAACCGGTTGAGCCCTCTGTTACTAACCAGTCCCCTCTGCTTCACCAGGAGCAATATGTGTTTATCCATGACGCCATCCTAGAAGCCTGTCTTTGTGGAGACACCTCCATCCCTGCTTCCCAAGTTCGGTCTCTGTATTATGACATGAACAAACTGGACCCACAGACAAATTCAAGCCAGATTAAGGAGGAGTTCCGGGTAAGTCACGCTAGAGGGAGAGGCGAGTGGCTGTGACTTTGCTCCTCAAAAAATATATCTAAGTCAGATCTTGAATCATTGAGGCAGCACAGGGTTCCTGAACCTCAGCAATGTTGATATTGGGGGCTGGGGAATTCTTTGCTGTGGGGCTGTCATGTAGGATCCCTGGACTCTACCAACTGGATGCCACATCAGTTGTGACAACCAGAAATGTGTGCGGGCATTGCCTGTGTCCCATGGGGGCAAAGTTACTTTTTGAGAACCGTTGGTCTAGCAGTGCCATTTCCCCACTTCAAAGGCAGACACCTGGTAATCCCATAATGCTCCGGGGTGCACCAAAAAAGCAAGATATTATATTCAGGCAAGAGTTCCTCATCCTCACATTTGGTCTAAATGTACATGGCTCTAGACCAATTCTACCCAACCTTCTACTCCCAAGTGCCCAGATGTCTAGCCCTCATTACCCTCAATGGTCCTTATGTCTGATGGGCACACTCTATAGACAAAATCCAAGGAGATAAAGAGAAATAAAAATATAACTGTGAGTGGGGCGATGGCGGAGGTGGAGGAGGGGTTGATCGTGTACTCAGCTGTAGGAAACTTGGCTGTGCTGCAGTCTGCATTAAGACTGTGTACTATCCAGTGTCTTCTCCACTGCCCGCATTCTGTCACACAGACCCTGAACATGGTCACGCCAACTCTGCGTGTGGAAGACTGTAGCATCGCTCTTCTGCCCCGGAACCATGAGAAAAACCGGTGCATGGACGTCCTGCCTCCGGACCGCTGCCTGCCTTTCCTCATCACCATCGACGGGGAGAGCAGCAACTACATCAACGCCGCTCTCATGGATGTAAGCCCACCTACCTTCCCTCGGAAGGAAACGGGGAGATGTTTCTCCAGGGGCAGCAACTGGGAAGTGACTAAGTGCAACTGGGAAGTGACTAAGTGCAGTCCTTAGACTCATCTGCCCTTGCTCTTCGAGGTGTTGTTTTTTTTAAAGACAGAAACTATTTTTTTCTGAAAAGTGCATTTCAGACTCCATATATGTTTTCCCGTCAATGCAGAAACCACTAGTCCTAACGTACTGATAAATGAATCATGTCCCATTTACTCTCTGAGCACTTGCAGATTTAACCTGCTGGCCGGAGAGCAAGAGACAGCTCTTAGGTCACTGCGGCAATTCAAGTGGGATAATATGGTTTGCAACATTATTTTAGTGCCCTTTCTTCCTAATTCAGGCAGTAATTAACATGGGGGGGAAATCACCTGTCAGTACAGATAGTACACAGCTCATTACTTCCTGTCAGTCTGTTTTCTTCTAACTGAATGAGCATTTGCTATTCAATTGGTGGGAAATGTGAATGGATATTTTTAGTGCTATTGGTGTGATATCAGTAAAAAACTTGTTTGAGGCTCTCCAGAGCAGTAAAAAGCATATACATCCTTTTGTGGCAAAAATAAGTAGCACCATCACACACATACATGACAAGGAAAGATTTTTAGGAAAAGCAGAGCTATTTTAATTATGCATGTTTTTAATCATGTTTTTATTGATTTTAGAGAGAAAGGGAGGGGGGAGAGAGAGAGAGAAACATCGATATGAGAGAGAAAAACATCAGTCTGCTGCCTCTGGGGTTGAGCCTACAACCCCACAATCGGGGCATGTGCCCTGACGGAATTGAACCTGAGACCTTTTGGTGCATGGGACAATGCTCAACTAACAGAGCATACTGCCCAAGGCTTAATTACACATATTTTTAAAATAAATTTACATTTTCCTTATTAAAAGGATTATTAAAATCTTACTTGATAATTTAGGAGAATTGGCTAAAAGGATACTAAAATTTGAAAGAAAAATAACTAGAAATATATGATTATGTTCTAGCTAAAAGGAAGTGAAAGTAGCTATATTGTTAGCAAGCAAAATAGGCTTTAAGGTTAAAAAAAAAAAGACTTTAAAGGTAACTTTTAAAAAAATAGGATGACTTATTTTATGGAGTCATTTCATAAGAAATAATGTTTGATGCACTCAGAAGAAATAACAGTGCTACACTAAAATTATGGCTTCAAAAATATATAAAACAGAAATTGAAATACAGAGTGAGATGGAAAAATTCATCATCATATAAGGAGACAGTACCATGCTTCTTTCAGAGCCTAGTCAAGGAAACAGCCAAAAAAAATCAGTTAAGTAAGGAGTAAGCTAGACCTAAGACAGAAGTAGAGCATTGAATTGAACAATGAATACACTGAAGGTCAGCCTGGGAGCAAAACATTTATGTGCTACCTTCCTAGTAGTTGCTGACAAAAAGCGGTTAAATTTTTTAAATTCTTTGAGATCCAACTCCCAAGCGCTAGACCCATGGTCAGCAAACTGCCGTTCGAGAGCCACATGCAGCTCCTTGGCCCCCTGAGTGTGGCTCTTCCACCAAATACCACAGCCTGGGCGAGTCTATTTTGAAGAAGTGGTATTAGAAGAAGTTTAAGTTTAAAAAAAAAATTTGGCTCTCAAAAAAAATTTCAGTCATTGTACTCTTGATATTTGGCTCTGTTGACTAATGAGTTTGCCGACCGCTGCCCTAGACAAGACAAAAGCTTATTCCTCGGGCAGGGGAGGGGGGAGGGGGAAGGAGAGTGGAGCAGGGGGGACCGATTATGTATAAGGCCAATATTGCTTTTCTACTAGAGACAGCAAACATTTTATGAAATGCTCTTGTGTTCTTAGTGTCAAAGTGAGAATATTTTATCATTACTATAATATAGATAAGTTTATATTTAGTCTGTTTTGGCATTGACAATGGTGATAGAATTCAACAGTTGTTAAATATGCTCAGTGTTTTATGTCACAAATTTGTATGCATATAAAATAACCTTAGCTTCTTCCCTTCATATTTTCTGATATATTTGGATCTTTCTTGTGTGTTTGCAGAGCTATAAACAGCCTTCCGCTTTTATAGTCACCCAGCATCCTTTGCCAAACACAGTGAAAGACTTCTGGAGGCTGGTCCTGGATTATCACTGCACGTCTGTAGTTATGCTGAATGATGTGGATCCGGCCCAGGTGAGACTCATGAGTTATTACAGCCAAAGCTCGTGCCCAGGGTTAAATCTGTGCTTGCTTTGTTTGCATATTGAAAAGTGTGGCCTCCAGTGCCAGGTCACAAAAGTCAGGTGAGGACTGAGAACAGGAGATGCAGAAACACAAACATTAAAAATCAGATGGAATTAGGGATTGGGGCAGAAAGTCATCTGAAACCCAAAGACAGGCTGGAATTACAGATGGTGGAAGTGAGAGGGCAAGATGGAGTCAGAAAGGATGGAAATACTGACTGGAGGGAGATCAAGGTAATGGGCAGAGTCAGAGCGGAACAGGAACAGGAATGCCACAACACCAAAATCAGAGCAAGCAAGCCAGAAGCCGTGGTAGATGTCAGCATCGAACCCAGCTCTCAGTCCCATCAGGGATAGTACGATGATGCAGTGGCAGGCAATTTTAAGGGAAAGCAATTAGTTGTGTCAACTCTTTGATAAAGATATTAAAAAGAAATAAAACTGGGACTGGAAGATAAGAGAAGCTCAGAATGATAAATGGGACATTTTCATAGCTCCTCTTCTTAAACATAAAAAAAGATAGAATGGACAGTAATGACTCGATATTAGTAATGGGGTTTAAAAACATTTTCTTCAAGAGACTTGTCAGGCGAGCATTAGCACAGTGGCCATTTAGGAGCTGAATTTATTGCTTTAGGATACAGCCATACCAATCACAGGCTTAACTGTCAAGACAGTTATGCTAAACTTGAACTTAGTGTGTTTTAAGAATAAACTTGTTCTGGAACTGAATTTATTTCCTATTTAATAGAGACAAATTCTTTTAAAAATAAATAAATAATAAGATAAAAAGGCCTGACTATTTCAGCATCCCTTCCTAAAATCTACTTTATTGCCATCAATCTGCTGTAAATGATATGGAATTTTCTTTAATGCTGTAATGTTTTTAATTAAGTTTGAGATACTAGATTATATTATTAGGGCTGTAGCCTGAATGTTTATGAAATGATAATGACAATCCTTGTCCTCATCTAGTCCTTTTTGCTTAAGAAGGCTTAATGTTTCAGGTCTTCCCCCATTGGCCCCCTCCAGAGGACAGATTGCAGCCATTTAAAAACACAGTCGCAGCTAAGGGAGCTTCAAAGACACAACTCAAAATGGAACCACGGATCCTGGTTTTCTAACTCGCAGTGTCCAGGGTTAAATTTCCCTAATTCAGGAGTCCTTAGTCATAGACAGTTCTAGAATAAAAGGCTTGATCCCTCTTCAGAATCATTCTTTTCCCCCTAATGTGGATCCTGAAATGTAGTGATGTACTGTTTTGTTCATATTAGTGAGCCAGGCATTAGTTATTTCTGTGTGTTCTCTTTAAACAGCAGTGTTTGAATTCCAAAGCTGCATTCTAAACCCAAACTGTCTGGACTGAAACCAAGCCTTGCCTGGCCAGGGGGAGGAGAGACAAAGAGACAGTAATTCCATTCAGCAGACAGAGCTGATTTTCAGAGTGAGAGAAAAGAGGCTCCTGGGAGTCGGTCTTTTAGAGAACACTAAACTAAGCATTTGAACTTAAAGGCTTTGCAATTGTACGAGAATAGCACTCAACTATTTTAAGTATTTATAGGTCTAGTTCATGGATGTGTTATACACCATTTAAGCCATTTTATATATCGTTTACTTGGGCAAAGTGCAGAATGCAGTGTGCCAAGAGCCAAATGTCAGCCTAGGCCATTCATATTTCTTTGGTATAAATGACAAGCTTTTGATCTGGGTTTGAACTGAGAGAACAAGCAAAAAGCAAAGCTAGCTCAGCCAGGAGTAAAATGGGCAGAACAGTTCAACTGTGCATGTTCGGATTTTATTACCATCTCTGCTTCCTATCACAATGCCTATTAATTTTAACAGTGGGTACATTTGGATATCAAAAAGAAAATAGGTATTAGCATGCTATAGTTTGATAAGGCAGTTTTATAACTTGTTGCCGGGAAGTGCTAGTGAGGAAGGGAAGATTTCATGAGAGCATTATTTAAAAATAAATAAACAGCTGGTCAAGATAGAGGTATAGGGAAATGTTCTACTCGCATCCTTCTACAGCCACATCAAAAATACAACTAAATTACACAACAACCATTATTCAGAACCACCTGAAATCTAGCTCAATGGAAGTCCTACAACTAATGATTTAAAAAAAGAAGCCACATCAAGACTAGTAGGAGAGGCAGAGATGTAGAAGATAAAAAGTAGGAGGAGCCAAACCAGTTTGGTTCAGTGGATAGAGCGTCAGCCTGCAGACTGAAAAGTCCTGGATTTGGTTCCGGTCAAGAGCATGTACCTTAGTTGCGGGCACATCCCCAGTAGGGGATGTGCAAGAGGCAGCTGATGGATGATTCTCTCTCATCGATGTTTCTAACTCTCTCTTCCTCTCTGTAAAAAAATCAATAAAATATATTTAAAAAACAAAAGTAGGAGGAATATCTTGGCTATGGAGATTCCCCCTGAAGAACAAGGGGTTCCAGCCCCAAACCAAGCCTCCCAGCCCAGGGTTCCAATGCCAGGAAGAGAAGTCCCCATAGCTTTGGATTATAAAAACCAGCAGGGATTGTGGCTGAGTGTGATGGAGGCTGCTGGAGTCCCAGGCAGTTCCTCTTAAAAGGCCCCACACAGACTTACTCAGTCTCTCTCCCTCTGAACTCCAGTGCTTTGTCAGTACCTTGAAAAGTACCAGAGACATAAGGGTAGAAACTAAAATGTCTGGCATCAGATGAGAGCTGGAGGGGCAGCTTTCTCCCAGACAGAAGTGCTGGCAAAGGCCATTTTTCCCTTTCTGAGTCCTTCCCCCACAGAACCAGCAGGGGGTGCCATACCTGAGTCTCCATCAACCTGGCTATGACTGTTCACCCTGCCCTGGTGATTCCCTTATGCCTTGCCCCACCAACTTGGGTACCATATTTTTATTCTGGATAATCACTTAGTGTTATATAGTGTCTAATCACTGGACTGTACACCTGAAACTAATATAATATACATTTTAAAAATAAATAAATGTACTTTCTAAGATACTATTAAGTATCCTTAGTTACCTCACTTTCATTCTTAATCATAAAGTCCAAACCTCTAACTTCTTTATAATAGAGGAAGATTGCTCTTTAGGTTGACCCGCCATTAACTGAAAATTATCTTGCATATAAATCAATTTATATGCAAGATATATAAATTGCAACATTTGACACTAAGATGTTTAGATCCTTTGGAAAATAAGTCATCAGAAAGGAAATTCAGCTAGTAGATTCTCTTGTTGTGGTTCTTCCTTCTGCTTAAAATGAGCTGATATGTTTTCCATCTGCTCTAAGCCCAATAGAAACTGATTGTAAAGTAATGAAGTAGTTCTTTTTTGTCTCATCACAGCTATTTGTCCCTCTGGTAAATCAGAAAGATAAAAGTTACATGATACTACCCAGTGTGTCACTGGAATATCATGCCCCAAAAGAAGTTTAATTTCCAACTTTAAATGCCTTTTGGAGTCTTAGGGCTAGAAAAGCTTTGTGAGAAGGAAAGATCTTGAGTATTCTCTCACCTATCTTGGGTATTCTAACACTGTGGCTAATAGAATGGTGGCTCACCGAATGAAAGTCCCAGTTTCATAAGACACCATGCCCAGCTGCACTTCTCCACTAGAACTGCGCATCATATCCCATTCATACAAAAGTTCCAGTAACCTAGTGTCACCAAAGCTAGAGTGTGAGACTCTAGGAAATTGTGGTTTTTATTAAAGCCACCTCCAGGTAAAGCATTTACTCTTATTACACCAGGTTTTCTAGAACAGAGCGGCAGGGTTTGGACCAGAGCATAAAAATTCAATGCAATGCTGTTATCAGTATCTTGTCACAGAATAACCTTATTCCCCAAAGTGATTACAAATTGCAAAGCAAGCCCAGGGAAAGATGGAGATTTGGGTGTTTGTAGGTATGTGTGTCATCTTAAGAACCGTAGCTCTTCTAATGGCAGCTAGTGGCATCTTCCCAGGGCCTTGTAAGAGTTCTTGTCAGCAGCAAAAGGAATCTTACTACGGGGTGTGTAAAATAGCATCCACATGTCCTCAGAAAACAGAATTGCTCATAGTTTAATGATGCTTTCTGAGAAAATGCAGGGAAAAGGACTAGAAGAAGGACAGGTGGAGCTGAGGAATCAGCCAACAAGAAAGTCTGCAAGTCTACTTTCTTGAAGGGAGAGAAAGGAAATAAAACTTAGTGAATCACGGATGTATTAAGACCCACTGAATGTCAATACTGACCATATCCAAACTGCTCAGAGTAAACTTATTCTTAAAATAACCTCGTGTTTCTTTGTTTTGAATTCAGTTGTGTCCACAGTACTGGCCAGAGAACGGAGTTCACAGACATGGCCCGATCCAAGTGGAATTTGTTTCTGCTGATTTAGAAGAAGACATCATCAGCAGGATATTCCGTATTTATAATGCATCCAGAGTAAGAACCACAGCCAATATCACATTGGGGTTTCATTTTCTCATTCAATGCATATTTAGGGTGCCACTCTGTGGCAGTCGCTGTTCCAGGAGCATAGACTATATCAGTAAACAAAACAAAGCTCCCTGACCTTAGGGAACTTACATTTTAATGGGAGGTGATAAACAATAAATAATGGATATATTAGACATAATGAGATATGTTAGAAATTGATAAATGCTATAGAAAAAATCTGAAATGTAGAAAGTGCTAGGGCATTAACAGGAGGGAGAGCAAGGCTCTGTCTTAAGTAGATGTACAGTGTGAACAAACACCTGACGGAAGTGAGGGAGCAACCATCCGATGTTCTGCAGAGTCAGCTTTCCAGGCAGAAGTACTGGTCAGTGCAAAGGCCCTGAGGGAGGGTTTCTGGAACAGTAAAGAGGCTGATATGGCTTGAGCACAGTAAGCTATAACCACCTAGGGAATGGACTAGGGGAGGCAGCGGGGAGGCATGGCAGGGATCATGCAGGGCCTTGCAGTCCACTGCAAAGATTTGAGCATTTGCTCTGAAGGAAATCAGGAGCCATTACAGGGTTTGAGAATAATCGCATGATATAATTTACCTTTGAAAAGGAGTACTCTGGCTTCTGTGTTGAGAACAGATTTTAAGAGAGGCCCACCGGGAGACGATCATAACAGTCTAGGTGAGAAATGACAATGGCAGGACAGAGTGGTAGCAGTTGGAGGTAGTAAGAAATAGAGAGACTCTGGTATATTCTGACAGCAGAACCGATAGGATTTGCTGGCAGTTTGGCTCCTAGGGAGCTGAGGGTGACTCTCCAGATTTTGGTTCTGAGAACTAGAGTGATAGAATTGACATGAACCAATTTAGGGAAGATGGTGGGTGTAAACAGGACAATTTCAGGAGAGAAGAGAGTCATACATGGAGAGAGAGTCAGGAGTTCAATTTGAAGCATACTAGGTTTGAGATGACCATTAGACACCTATGTGGAAATATTGAGTTGGCATTTGGATCTATGAGGACAGAGGTCTGATCTAAAGATACGAATTGATGGCTTATTGGAATATTTAAAGCCATGAAATCATCAAATGAGAGACAAAAGCAAAAGGGACCCATAGACTGAGCCGTGGTCCATCAGAAGGGGAAGCCACTACAGAGGGGAGAGAGAGCAGTCAGGGACAAGGGACAGCCAGACGAAGAAAGTTTGTCAACAAGAAAAGCGTGACCACCTGTGTCCAAGACTGCTGGGGGCCACGGAACATGTAACGCCAATGGTGTAGCCATGGCGGATTAAAACGGTTGCCTTTTCTAACATTTTCTTGAATAGTGCAATTGTATTGAACTATGAGTAAAGATTAATTAACTACTGGTATCTCAGCAAGAGTCACACCAATAAGCAAAACCATATCATATTCACAGGAAACACAGTGCAATCTATAACACCCTCAGCTCACATGCATCTCCTGATTGTAACCTATCCTCTACCTTTAATTTACCTGTAATTAAAGTAGAGCCGTTTTACCATTTACTACACAATGTGGTCAGTGTTCGTGTTGTGTGTTATTTTTCACTTGGTTTTTGCAAAATTGCAAGCCTTTGGCTTCACTTTTATTTGCCTAGTCTGTCATTTCAAACACCTGGTTTTTTATAACACCTCAATATTAAAACTCATAACTCTCAGGCCAGTAGAAGCTTCCTCTGTTATTTATAGGCCAGCCTCTCCTTTAATATTGCCCTCCTTTGATGAGAAGACCAAGTAGGTGGAACCTGCCCACTGGAATTCAATAAAGTAAATAATGCCTGTTTTCTTTTTCACTCCCTGCTTATTGCCTGATTCTCCAGCCCCAAGATGGATATCGGATGGTGCAGCAATTCCAGTTCCTGGGCTGGCCGATGTACAGAGACACGCCGGTGTCCAAGCGCTCCTTCTTGAAGCTCATTCGCCAGGTGGACAAGTGGCAGGAGGAATACAATGGCGGGGAAGGCCGCACGGTTGTGCACTGCTTGTAAGTGTGAGATAGCGCTCTGCGTCTGGGAATGACCAACCACCTTCCGTTACCTGCCATTTCACTCTCTCTTGTTTCACTACAGTTGGGGAAGAAATAAGTAGATGTGAGTGAAAGGAGATGATCTACTTGATGAAGGTTTGGTTTGCTTTGCAGAAAACAAGATATGCATGTTTTGATTCTGCATTTGCACAGACTGTGACTGCTATAAAAACAAGCCCCGGCCTTGTGATTGGGAACCCCTCCCCCCCGCAAAAACAAACAAGCAAAAACAAAAACAAAAAACACGTAGGTTAGCCCAGTAGGCTCCTACCAGCTCTTGAGAACCAGTTGTTAACATCTGGGGGACTTTTTGAGCTGGTTGAACTTTCTAAACTGTTGATTACTTGATAAACCATCCAAGTGAAAGAATCTACATCACAGAAATCAGCCAATACTACAAATCAGGGCTAGCTTGCCATCACACTAGTATAGCGGGTGATGCTATTGGAAATCATGTCAGAAGCTCCAAAGGAACTGTGTGGGGGTTTTCTTTGTGGTTTTAAGAGAGTTTTTTGTTGTTTTATTTTGGTTTTGGCCTGGGAATATATACATTGGGAAGATTTGGTGAGAGCCATTGTCTCCAGAGTGTGGTCTCCAGGCCACCAGTTTTAGCAGGAGCTGAAATGGGAGGACCTTTGCCACAGAGCAGTGACTCCCACCTTAGCTGCTCATTGACAGTCATTTGGGAAATGTCTGTGCCCTGGCCACACCCAAGCCAAATTCAATCAAAATCGCTTTGGGCGGGGCCCACACATGGGTGTGTTTTTAAACTCCTAGGTAATTTTAACATTCGGCCAAGATGAAGAGCTGCTGAAAAGAGACTTCTGTGCTTTTCGAAGCACTTTCACCTGCACTTTCTCATTGGTGATGATATGTAGCTAATCAGCCAGCTGGAATTGGCTTAATGGAGCAGGCAATTAGAAAGTCATGGCAATTAGGGAAAATGTTTAGAGAATTTGTGGAAACTTAAAGTGTTAAGCTTATGTCTCATCCAGTGGAATGTCATTAGAAGTATACAATGAGATCTCTCTCAAATTGAAGGGAAAATAAAGTTTTACTCTGGGCCCACGAACCCTAATTAAAAGCTTGGCTAAGGACCTCGGTTACTCTCCACCTTTTGCCCATATCTCATGCCATGCCACTCCCACTCAGGGCCCTAGGACTTCTTGTGACCGCTTAGAACTCTGCCTTGCCTCTCAAGTCAAAATGTGGCCTGTCAGCCTGTAAGAAAATGGTATTCCCTTGGAAAGAACCGTATGAACCTACTCACACTTAACCCTAATCCTTTGTCCCCGGAAAAGCTGTTCATAAGCTACCACCTTTTACTACTTTCTCCTTCCTTTTCATGGACCCAGTTCATTAAAAACATCTCTACCTAGAAAATGCCAAAAGGAATGATGAACAACTCACAGACCCATTTTTATATCTTTCAAGGCCAGATATAACCTCTGATCAGAATAAGATCAGAGGGTCACCAGTGTGGGTTGATACAATCCTGGCAAGGAAAATTAACATTTTAGTTAGAGTTTGTATTATATCTATTAAGTTAAAAAAAAAAAAACCTAAAAGTAGTTTGCAGATATCCATTTCTGCATCTAGCATCTGCCAGCATTTAGAACTAGGAGCATAATGCATGGTACCAAATTTGATGAGTAGCTTCCTTACAAGGGCAAGTGCCGTAATATTATACAAAGGTCTAAGTCACAGTGGGGGAAGTTGAGGCACTAGACAAGCCTGAGGGGAAGATAGAAGGTTCCCTTACATCACTGTACCTCAGAGACAACCACCAACTATGACCTTCTGGGACACAGCTGTGGCCCTAGAACTAAGCAGTTATGTCACCTTTCCACGTGACATCTAAAACAGAGGGCTGTTACCTAACTGTAGTAGACAGTGATGGGCATCCGGCATCCGCTGTTCTTCCCCTTCTTCTGGTGAAAAAAAACCTTGCTTTTTTGGGGGGTAGGGGGGCATTCTCCATTACAAAGTCCTTGTGGTTCTCATGGGGCTGCCTCTTGCTCTCTTAACATTGGGGTGGCCAAGAGACCCAGGCCTGGTGAGAATGTTTATTGTTGTTTAGACTTTTAAATCTATTATAAATCTAAGACTTTTAGTTGTGAGACTTTTAGGTTAAATTGGTATCCTCCGGTATAAGCCAGCAAAGAATGCTTTGATCCAAACAGCTCCCTGCTATTCTTCTGAGGTAAGGACATTGTTTTAGCATAATGTAGCACCACCTAATGGCTGTGGGCAGAGCATCCCTGCCCAAGGATGGTTCTTTAAGCCACATATACTCACGATAAGCAAATAGGGGATTCTTTTCTTTATACATATCTCCCGGCTAATAAAACCAAAAGAAATGTAAGATATCACCATTTTGCAATCCTTGATGAAAATGATGGATGTAGACAATGTCTCTGACAGCTGCTGAGAGCACTGGGTGAAAAGCTAATGGAGGAAAAGCAGTGTGGTGTCAGTGCAAAGGCAGAAAATAGACTAATGGCACAGAAGAGAAAACCCATGAACTGAGCCACACCTCAGGGTCACCTGATGTACAACAAAGATCCCACAGCATACCTACTTCATGGGAGTGGGAAAAGACTGCCTACATACCTGGTGTCTCTCCTCGCACTATATACAAAAATCACACCCAGATGGATTGTAGACCAAAATGTGAAGAAGAAGAAAAGTGACATTTCCAGGAGTAAATCTTTATAACCATGAGGTTACCAAAGATGTGTTACACAAGACAAAGAGCACTAGCCATGAAGGAAACATTGATGAGTTGGATTTCATTGAAGTTAAGTACTTAAGTTCACCTACAACACCAGTCAGAGTGCAAAAGCAAGACACGGAGCTGGTAAAGAGTTTTGTGATACATCCATCGGACAAAGGACTCATAGCCAGAATGACGAAGAACTACTGCAAGTCAATAGGAAAAGGCTAGACAACCCTTGACAAAAACTTGATTTAAAAAAGAAATCAAAAGAAAAGAATGTCCAAGAGGCTGATACGCATAGAACAGGTCTTAAGTGCCATTTGTTGTCGGAAAAATACACATTAAAATCAGAGTCGGATGGCAGTGCATACTCAACAGAATGTCTAGAATTTAAAAGACAAACACATAAATTAAAATACCAAGTGTTGGTGTAGCTGTAGAGTAACTGGAACTCCCATACACTGTTGGTAGGAGATAAATATGCTATAGCTGTTTTGGAGCTGTTAACTAAAGCTAAATGCACATACATTCTCTGAGTTCTTCTCCTAGGCATATGACTACAGAAGTGAGTCATGTATGCAACCATGAGGCATGTTTACAGCAGATTTACTCATAGTACCGGAAACTAGAAACAGCCAAACATTCATCAGCTGTTAGAGAAATAAACTATACAGTAGTATATCCAATCCATGTAATTATTTTTAGCAACATAAAAAAAAAGTAAATGACTGATACAATATGGATGATTCTCTCATAGATAATATTAAGTGGAATCGACTGGGAATCAAACTGGTGACCTTTTAGTGCACAAGACGATGCTCAACCAACAGCCACACAGTCCAAGGCCAAAATAAATTTTTTATGATAAAAGTGAGAACAGAGATTATCTTTGGAGTATTGATGGTATTGACAGGAAGGAGTAAGAGGGGGTCTTGGGAGCTGATAATAGTCTATATTTTTATCTAAATGGTGTTTACATGTCATATGCATTTATAAAAATTAACATATATATACTTAGCATTCATGGACTTAATTTAAGGTATGTTATACTTTATTTTAAAAACTGCTTTGAAACTTAGTAATGGACTGATCAAACTGACATTTGAACACAATGATAAATCTTAAAATCACAAATCAAGGAACAATTTTATATCTGTGCCTACTTCCTAATGACAGTATACTTATAAGGCATCCTTATCCAAAAAAATTAAAATTTTTATGAAACTCTGGAGCTAACTCCAAATTTATAGAAAATACAGGATTAGAGAGTAACATGTTAAATTATATTCAGAGACACAATGAATGAGAACAACCCAGAATATGAGCTCTCTACGGAAAAATGGCCCTTTGTCCTCAAGAAATAAATTACCAAGAAAAAAAAGAGAGAATGAAAAGAAAACTATAGATTAAAATAAATTTGCAAGACATTTCAACTAAATGCAATGCATGGACTTTGCTTGGATGTAGATTTGAAATAGACAACTACTATTTCTAGTCACTATTTAAATTTCCTGAGAAATTTAAACAGTGACTAGAAACTTGATTACATTAAAAGAGAAATGTGTATTAATGTTAGCTGCAATAATGATCCTGTGTTTATTTTTTTAAAGATCCCTAGATTGGTTGATTCTAGAGCTGGTATAGGGACCATATAGAATGAGTCTGGAACATCTATGGTTACAGAAAGTAAGGACATACTCAAAAAAAAAAAAAAAAATGACAGAAGCTGTCAAGCCGAAACTGGTTTGGCTCAGTGGATAGAGCGTCGGGTCTGCGGACTGAAAGGTCCCAGGTTCGATTCCGGTCAAGGGCATGTACCTTGGTTGCGGGCACATCCCTAGTAGGGAGTGTGCGAGAGGCAGCTGATCGATTATTCTCTCTCATCGATGTTTCTAACTCTCTATCCCTCTCTCTTCCTCTCTGTAAAAAAAAAGAAGAAGAAGAAGAAGAAGAAGAAGAAGAAGCAGCTGTTGAAAGAACACGAAAGCAATCTGATGGAGCGGCTAGTGGACTGAGCTAGAACAATTTCAGCAACAAAATATGTAGACTACTGGATTTTAGCTCATAAAATAGAATTAATAGGTCTAAATTGACAAATGATAAAAAAAATAAGCTAAATAACAATTTTAAACAGGGGAGAAGAAGAATGTTGAAGGAGAGAGGAAGGCAGAAAATCAATTAGGCAAGCACCACACTAATCATTGTTGCAGACGGGATCCATCAATGTGATCTGCCAATATAAGCTAAAATAAGTAGGTGCAAGTTTGAGGCGAAACAACGTATTTGCATAATCCCAGAGTATCTTTCCCATTACGTTCACTAACTACAAAGAGAAAGGTAACACCTACACAGTGAAAATAAATCTGCCAGACACCTACCACCTTAATAAGTGATCAGCTGTATCAGCAGCAGCTGTGAGTTCAACATGACTCCCTTGAAGGATGCAACAGCCCCTTCTGTGGCTTTTCTTGCCAAAATGTGCAACTCCATTTCCAATCATTAAAAAAAAAAATCAGGCAAACCCAAATGAATGTCAGCCTACAGTTTGTATTTCATAATGATTTCTCCAATTATGGATAGGGATCATGGCTACTTTCCACATCTACATTCTCTGTTTTGGTTTCAAAAAAAAAAAAAAAAAAATCATTGACCAGTCTTCTTCAAAGCTGCCAAGGTCAAGAAAGACAAGGAAGAGAAGTCACAGTTGGGAGGAGTGTAAGGAGACATGACAATAAAATGCAAGGTGGGATCCTGGGATGGATCCTGGACCAGGAAAAGGACATGCATCCAAAAGCCGGTGCCATGACTGAGGTCCGCAGGGTAGCAATAGTTTTGCCACAGCGTTAACCTCCTGGCTTGATGATGGGAGTAGCTATGTAAGAAGTCCACAGCAGGGGAGGGCGGGACACTCGGTGCTCGTTTTGCAGCAATGTTCTAGGTCTAAACTTGGTTCAAAATTAAAAGCTTTACTTAAAAAGAGCCCTTACGTCTTAGAAGTAAATAATGGAATGCTAATGGGTATTTGTAAGGCCAAGTCCATCTTAGAGCAGAACCCACACTTGTCACTAGTTTTAACTGAAGCACCGAGGTGCTCATTGAAACATCTCCGAGGTAGGCCCTCCCTGTAGAAATTGACAAGGTGCTGTATTAAGTTCTGTCATCTAGGGCTGCGGTGAGGCTGGGAGAATAGGGGTTCCAGTTCCTGCCTCCAGCACAGCACAAGCTGCATCTCCTTTCCTTAGCAGGTTGGCCCAGGTGGAGGGTCCCAGCCGGGAGCTGCACCACCACGGGTTCTCAGGGTTTAAGGGGCGCGATGTAAGGCAGACAAAGGTCTAACTCTCTGGCTTCTGTCTTCACAGGAACGGGGGCGGCCGCAGCGGGACCTTCTGTGCCATCAGCATCGTGTGCGAGATGCTGCGGCACCAGCGCACCGTGGACGTGTTCCATGCGGTGAAGACGCTGCGGAACAACAAGCCCAACATGGTGGACCTGCTGGTAGGCCTCCGCGCCGCAGGGGGCGCTGCCGTCGGGCGGGTTAGCGGTGTGGGGAGTGGGAGGCCTCCAGGCTCAGGTCTGCAGAGAAACTGATCACAATGGGATAGGCTCATTTTTTCAAAAACATCATGTGGTCACTCCACTTGCAAAGGCTGTTCTCCCTCTCCTCCCTCTCTTCGCTTTGCCACAGAGAGAGACTTCCTCTCAGCGCATCTGAGAGGTGAAATAGTTGAAACTCACAAGTGAACATCCTCATTTAATCCCCGCTCCTGGCAGAGGCTTCCGCGTGGCTAAGCACTTAGTCTTCAGAAGACATAATCATAGCACGTGAAACGCCAGATTTTTCAAATTGCATATCTTACAAATGGCTTAATCGCCTAATATTTATCAAAGCTGTGAATTTAGTTTGACACCGGAATATTGCACTTAATTATGGTGGCCATCGCTGCGAAAAGGGATTAGAGAGGAGTTGAGAAACAAAGGACTCCGTGCAATTATTTTCGCAGAGTGTTTCGTGAAATCTCTCTTTTGTGTGGAGCTGTTGAAATGCCAACCACTGTGACTCAAGAACAGCCGAGCCAGCTTAGAGGAGGGAGCTTCCAGGTTGGGTCTTTGTGCTCTTCTGTGGGCAGAAGCAGGGTCTGGAGGAAAAGAAGGACTAATCCCGAGGTGGGGAGGACCGCCTGCGGAGAGAGAGGAAGAGAGGGCCACAGCGCTGGAGCAGGGGGGTTAACATTCTAAATATCACAAAGAGACTGAAGAGAGAGCTGAGATTTACGATAAGGTTGCGGAAGTAGCCGTGGTCCTCAGTCATTACAGCAGAACACGAGGCTGGGTAATGACAGTGGCCTGTGACACTGAATCCAAGTCACTCCCCAGAGTCTCTGGTCTCCCCAGCGGTGTGTCCCATGTTGGATGAGCTGTTCTCCTTCCAAGAAGCATGGTGCAGGGCAGGGGCTTTGGTACAAGGCCACCTGTTCGGCCAGGTGCGGGCCCAGACAGCCATCAGAAGGCATCACATTGGCTTCTATGGAAAAAGGACTGTGTGTCGCCACCCGCACTGCTCCCCTCTCATTCCTGCCCTGGGGGAAGCCCATGAAAACCCAAATTGTAGTCTCAGCTCTGCCACTAATTCAAGTTATGGCCTCAGACAACTTGACAATGTGTATGCTCTGATGAGAAACAACAGAGTGACTAACTTGTCAATGTAAGTTTCCTTGGGCAAGGAAGGCACTTCACTCCCTTGGGTCTGAGTTGGGTAAACGAGGGACGTATTGCCTTATAGAAGAGATCCCACGTGATGATGTACGTGAAAGTGTTTTGGAAACTGCGGAGGTGGGAATGGTGGTTCTTGATAGTGCAGGTGTCCACAGGGCATGGGGCAGCCAGCAGCCTGCCTGAGGTAGTTATGGGAAGTGTTGGGGGAGACTCAGGAGGTGGCGGCTAGAAGCTAGTAGGTGACACTCCTAACGCCTTTCACGGGTCACAGATCTCCTGGGGAGGGGCCGAGAGGCTGAGGAGTTTGCCATGGTCACTGGAACCAGAGGGAAGGGTAGGGTCTCCCACCACAGAATTCTCAGTCTCCTGGGAAGCAAGTGACAAGAGGGCAGTCGGGTATCAGGAGTGGCCTGAGTTGAAGACAGATAAGAAGGCTGACAGAGGCTGAAAACAAAGGCATCAATTAAAACTTGCTGTGCCTTCATTTTGTATTTGATCTCCCTGATTCACGGACAGATGTGTACCTTCCAAACTTTGGTTGGTACCTGGGCAAAGCTGACCTTGCTTTAAAAAAAAAAAAAAGTCATTTCCCTCTCTGTGCAGCCTACATTAAGCAGAGGATTAGGATAGATCCTTCCAGGCCTTTCCTCTAAGCTCTGGCTGCAGCTTCCATCACTCACACATTTTTATGGGCAGAAGCAACGTGGCTTTTCCCAAATCAGTGGTGCTGCTTCTCCACGAAATGAATGGGACCTGGGTGGTTGGACCATAAGGGAGCCTCCGACCCCAACTCACTACTTACTGTCATTATGTAAGATCAGAGCAGAGCCCTGGTCGGCAAACTGCGGCTCACAAGCCACATGTGGCTCTTTGGCCCCTTGAGTGTGGCTCTTCCACAAAATACCATGGCCTGGGCGCGTCTATTTGGAAGAAGTGGCGTTAGAAGACGTTTAAGTTTAAAAAATGTGGCTCTTGAAAGAAATGTCAATCGTTGTACATTTGTTGATATTTGGCTCTGTTAAACTAATGAGTTTGCCGACCACTGGACTAGAGAAAACAGGATTCTTGCGTGCCCAGAACTCAGAGGGTCGGGACCAGCTTTAGGATAAAGTCAAGGGCTGAGAAATATAGGACAGTTTTGCAATTTCCTGAGAAGAATGTCTGATAAGTTTGTCCACAGTGAATATTCGCAAGGTAATGTCTGGTGACCGGCAAAAAAATGTCACAGTGCTCTTGGCAGCGGGCTTAAAGCTTCCTGAACTAAATAAGGGCCCTTGTCATTTGTTTGTTTTTGCCTTTAAGTACAATTCCTGTGAGAGTGGTCCTTGTACCTGTGTGTATATTGGCTAAGGGGATTAATTCAGGTCAGGGTGATAAAATCGGCTACAATTCTATTGGGCATAAAAGGTCATCGGAGACCGAGTTTCTCCTAAGCACTGGATATTGTACCCGCAATTGAAACGTACAGAGTGCGGAGTCTTCTTAGCTGCATCTTCATGGAACGGCGATGTGTGCGCCAGAAGGCTTTGGAGTGCACTTGTGCTGGCACGGGGGAGCCAGGTGGATGGGGTCAGGAGAGCCTTGGCCTGGGCCCCCCTAGACCTGCTCATGTATCACATGCGGAGGCTGAATCCACAGAGGTCCCCTCCATTCAAAACCAGCGCCCCCTCCCTGCCAGCGTGGAGGAGCGTGCAGAGGGGAGTCCCGTCTCTACCTCCCTTTGAGGCCCTGGTTTCTCCAAATTGCTTCCAAGTTTGAAAACCCATCCATCTGCTTTGAAGCATGGCACTTTGAAGAGAGATCTAGGAAGCCCTAAAAGATTTATTTCTTCAAATTCTTAGTTTTGGGGGCTCATGAGAAAAGCCAGTGGATTGCAAGGAAGCAAAATAATTTATAACACACAGTGAGGTGTGTTTTACCCAGCAAGAGCAGGGTACTTTTCCCTCACCCCCTCTTCAGCCCAGCTTCTACATTATCTACCGCTTCGCCAGCCTCCAGTCCTAAGCAAAGGCCTGGGTCCCAGGGGCAGGCAGGACCCCACAGCCTGAATACTGAGCTCCTTTGAAGCCCTGATAGCTGTGGGAAAACGGGTGCTTCAGTGTGTAGCGCCCCTCTCACCTTTGTTCTCCTCACTTTGGCTTTTGAAGTTCTAGGGCTCTGTTTTAGAAAAAAAAAAAAAACAAAAAAAAACAAAAAAAAAACAGCCTCCAGGGACTGATCTTGCCTAGAGATATATATTATCGCCTGGGATGTGGTGGGAACTTTGGCCAAAGTTACCAAGATCAAGGTGATTGACACATAGTTAATACTGTGTGTGTGTGTGTGTGTGTGTGTGTGTGTGTGTGTGTCGAGAATACCTAGTCTCAGCAATTGCACGTATGTAATATTGTATTACTAACTATTCTCAAACTTCTTATAACTGGAAGTTTACACCCTTGACCAACAGCATCCCATTCCCCTCTCCCCTCAGCCACCATTGGCAACCGCTGTTCCATCTCTTTAATGGGAACTTTAGACATTCCAATCCCGAAGCCCACCCCAGAGACTCAGACCCATTGGCATGGGGCCTGGGGACTCTAAAGGGCTGCAGGCGAGAAGTAGGGTTCAGCTGAGTGACAGGCTTCCTTTTCCTGCCAAGCAGACTGCCTGCCCAGGCCCACCTCCCTAACGCCTGTTTGGTCCAGCTCTGCCAGTATCCCCCACCTGTATTGCAAAACTGGCCACCCAGGTTCAGCCCTCTTTCCTCTTAAGAGTCATACATATGATATGCTGTGAACTTGTGTGAAATCAGCAGACTATTTGAAAGGTGGGGTGTGGAGGTGTGAAGGTAAGTGTATGAGTGGATGTGAATGTGTAGGCATGGGTATGTGAGGGGCTGTGCATGTGTAGGGATATAGGTGTGGGGCTGTGTGTGTAGGTATAGGTGCATTTGAGTATATAGATGTGGGTATGTGGGGTGTACATAGGTGTATGTGTAGGTGTATGTATATAGATAATAGCTGGGGGGTATGTATGGGTATATATGTGGGGGTGTGTATACACAGGTATATGTGTGGATGTGTGGATGTGGATATAGGTATGCAGTATGTATAGATATATGTGCATATGTGTATGTGTAGGTATGGATGTGAGAATGGGTGTGTGTAGAGGTCTAGGTGTGTGTATGTGGGAGTGGGAGTGTGTAGGGGTGTGTGTGTGTGTGTGTGTGTGTGTGTGTGTGTGTGTTGCAGTGAAGGGTATAGGACTCAGGTGGGGAATCAGAGATGTGCACTCAGGCCCCTGAGTTGTGCCCCAGCCGGCTGTGGCTGCCAGTCTGAGTGGCATTCCACCTCTCTCAGGCCTGCCCAGCCATTGTCACACAGCCTGGGGCTCACAGCCCTGGAGAGCAGCCTCTCCGTAAGTCCTCTCATGGTCGGTTTTCCCACATCTTAAGGAAGCATTTGGGGGAATCTCTGTTGATGCCCTGTGTCCCCTCTCTGCCCAAGACTCTGATCTCCTTGAGGCAGGGGCTGGTCAACTCCCCTCAGCATCAGCAGGGCTCCTAGCTCCAAGGGGGTACCCGATAAATATTTGCTGAGTGACTGGGTATTTCTGCCCTGTACCCAGACAGCCATCCATCCTGGCAGCCCTGGCTGCCCTCTGGGACCTGGAGAAGGCTGTGGCTACATGCCCACAGGGCTGACGAGGGAACCCACACAGACTGCTTGGGGCTCTGCATGCAGAAGGTTCTCCATACATTTTCAAAGATGTAGATGAGAGTAGGGACCCTTCCCGTTCATTGTCAGAGACACGCAGCTGTCTTATGAGGGGTGAGTCAGCGGTCTCCTTGGCACGTTGACTGGTTGCCCCATTGACCCGCGGAACAATGAACCCAATCTGGGAACCTTGTCACCTCCTGGCAGGAGCATCGGTCAGGATTCTTTCCATGTGGAAGGATCTGTCAGCACAGGATCAACTGAAGCTATGAAACTTGTCTCAGTTTCAAAAAGCAGGAGCACCAGAGGGGAGCTTTGCAGCAGATGAGCCAGCAGACTCTTCTCTTTGAATTTCCCCAGGCAAGCGGGGCTGGGGTGTTTGAAGTGGAAGGCTGCCCATAGGGCCCCCAGTTCCTCAGACACAGCAGCCTGAGTGACAAAGGCACAGCCCGGGCCCTGCAGGGCGGACCCAGAGCCCTCAGAGTGAGTGGGGACTTTTGAAACAGAGCCTGACTTTTAGGTGCCTCTTCAGATGTCACTTTCTTCCCGGGAACAAGAGATGTGATCTGGAGTGGCAGTGGGGTCGGGCCTTGGAGAGGAATAGCGGGTCTCCCTGGTACCGTCCTGCACAAGGATAGACCCCCCACTCACATCCCTTCTTCATGCCCGAAGCCAGCCAAAGCCGCCCCAGTCGGGAGAGCAGGGGACCAAGGCATAAACATTTTTCCCCTGAAGCACAGGGCTCACTCCTGTGGTTTAATTATACTGTTCAAAAGCAAGGGAGTTGAGAGAAACCTTGGAAGACAGGCCTGAACCTGGTGATCAAATGAAATCAGTTTCCATGGGAGGAAGATTTCAGGCATTTCCCAAGGTGCTCGGGGGAGGGGACGCAACAATGTAGGATGATTGCCCTCCTTCCTCTTCTTTTTGTGATTCAGATGTCAGATATCACAGGATCGGTGGGTGGGGGTTAGCCGCTTGGTTGGGAGGGAGAAGATGAGAGAGAGAGAATTCATTTTGAAAATTAGAGTCATGCCTACAGAGCACCCCCTCCGTGACCTACACAGCAGCCCCTGGCAGCAGAGCCTGAGCCTTTCCTTCCAGTGCGTGCCTGGAGGCCAGCAGCCACCTTTCCCACGAAATGAAAGAAATGTTAATGTCTTCATGTTAAAAGAAATGGGTTCGTAATAGGCACTCGCGTTAGTTGCACAATTAGGTGTGTACAAAATCCTGTTTTATTCAATAAGGAATTGGATCTCTTAAAATTTCATTGGGGAATTTCATTGGGGGGAGGGGAGTGTCACTGTGACACACACACACACACACACACACACACACACACACAGAACTCATTGGAGCACTTTATAGCCAATAGGCCAGCTCAGTGATCTGCCAACATCAGAATTTTGAAATTCAAGTGATTTCTTTTCAATATTCTGAAATTAAAAATACTGTGTTGTGAGTCACAGTGGATTTGTTTAGACACCATTTTCAGTTCTCTTGGGCATATTCCTTGGGACTATAGAGTGATTCTACGGCCTTTTGAGGAGCTGCCAGACTGCTTTCCAAAGTGACTATGCCAGTTTGCATGCCCACCAGCAGAGTGTGAAGGCTCCCGCTTCCCTACATCCTCCCCAATGTGTGTTCCTGTCTTTCTCTTCTTCTGTGAGCCATCCTGGCAGGTGTTGCTGCCACTGGTGTTTGTCTTGTGGCACCGTCAGTGTATGGAAATGATCTCTAGATTGTAAGCTCTCTGAGGACCGAGGCTGTGCCTGGAAATCCCCGGTCTCTAGTCTTTCCTGTTTGCTCAGTTGTATCAAGTGCTGCTGAGCCCTTTGTCATCATTTACATAGAAGACCAAAGTGTGCCCCCCGCCCCACAACTATATGTCAGGTTCTGCACCAAAGACTGGTATGCTGGCTCTTGTCTTCCAATAAACAGGTTGGACTAGTTGGGGCCTTTAGAGAACAAATAATGGGGGAGGAAAAGGACATTGCAGTGACTAATCAGAGACATATTTTTTTTAAAAAGGTAGAAATGTATTTGTAATGAATTTGGCAAATAAAAGACCCATGTCCTTGGTTGTGACCATTGTGTTGAGCCATGAGACAGTGGTGTTGACTCTCAGAACTCACAAAAGTTTGCCTCTTCCTGGGCTGGGAAGAGAGCCTTACAATTGCCAGCCCCTCTGCCCCCCGACACTGGGCCGCTGCATCCTCAACCCCTGGGTCCCTCTGCTCTGTTCAGAGGCCTCACCCAGCGAGCATCCATGTGCACCAAAACAGGAGCTGGATGCCCTCCCCGCCACCTGAGACCCTACGTGCGTGGGCCAGGACCTCAGGTCCATGACCTGAGAACGCAGTGCTCATAGAAATGAAGTCACTGCCTGATGGAGAGCTGGCATGTGGTTCCCAGAGGGTGTCAAACATTTCCTCCCGGTGCCCTTCTTTATCCTGTCGCCTCTACATGGAATGCCTGTCTTAATGCCAGTTAGGATAGTCATGTAATCGCTCACACCGGGACACTTTTCAGAGTAAAAGAGAACGCTGCTAATGCTTATGCCCAGACAAGAGGCAAAAGCCAGTTCTGTCTGGGGCAAACCAAGGCACATTAACTCCTATCCCAGCTCTACAAGCTCACCCTCTCCCTCCTGTTACCTACTGCCTCTCGCCAGATCTTCCCTAAGAGGTTCCAGTCTCTCCTCCACATTGGAGGACCATTCACGGGCCCTGCTCAGCTCTGCCTCATGGGTTGTCATGGGTCGCTTGTCTCATCCTCCTCACTGGACCATGGACTTCTCAAAGTCAGAGCCCAGGTCAAGGTGCTTGGTCCTTAAGAGGTTCTTAAAAACTCCTCATGAAATGGAGGGAATCCAGCTGACCGAACAGCAAAGGTTAAGTTGGGCCTGGAGTGAAGCCACGTTTATTTACTGGGGCCTTCTGTAAGCAAGCCATGAAGCATTGCCTCCAGCACTCAGTATCTTCCCTTCTACCTCGTGGTCTTCCCTTGCTTTGTGCTCAGCATGTTGATGCACAGGTAAACATGCGTGTATGGACAAACACATATACGTATATGTGTGCTCCAGTTATCTAGAACTTCCCAGGAATTCTAGTGAGTGTGGATATCAAAATACCTTTCATCAGGCCTCGTGGGAACATCTACCAACAGTGGATACATTTGTGGTTCAGAACCACGACTTTCTCATTTATTGCTGATTCAGATCCTTCTTCTCAGTTTGACGTCGTCCAATTAAACCCCTCATCTGGCATCATTGCTTAACTAGAAGCGGCGTTCAGGTACCGCAGAGCTGACATGTTTTCCCTCCCCTGTTCCAGGACCAGTACAAGTTCTGCTACGAGGTGGCCCTGGAATACTTGAATTCTGGCTGACGGCATCTCAGCACTGCAGACCGACCTGTCATCCCACAAAGCCGAGAGCTCCCCAGGCGTTTGTGAAGATGAGATCAGGACTCGCGATGTGCTTATTTTGCTTTGCAGCATTTGGCTCTTTTTAAGAGCCAGAGGATGTATAAAACCGCTTGCACTGCCCACGTCCTAGCGATGCTGCTGCCGGGCGGAAAGCACACACAGCTACAGTCGTCTGAGGCTGTACCCCTGGGCGCCCGCCTGTTAGAGCAGCACAGACAGCTGGCGCCTTGAAGAGCACAATTATATTCTTATGAAGGAATTTGTACCTTTGGGGTATTATTTTGTGACCCGTGAACCTTTGTTATTGTTACAGCTGAGTGTACATTTTTTTTGTTCCGTGGAGAATGCTACCTGGCATTATGATAATATATTATTTTTAGTTAATATTTGTATTTTAATATGTTGCATAATATAAGCTTAATGTAGCTTTCCAAGACTAACAGATAAACATATAATGAACAAACATATAATGTATGAGTTGTTGTTTCTATCAGATTTATATTGTTTCTAAGGGAGACGCTGGGGAGGAATTCAGTTCAAAAGTACAAAGCTCAGCGATCAGATTCACAGATCGAAAGCTTTTCCGCGTGTTTATATTGTAAATACTTTTGATTTCATCAAATTATTTATTCATTAAAAAGAATTTTTTGTGAAGCGCAGTGAGTGACAATCATTTTTATGAAGCCCAGGAAATGGCTGACTGTATGATGCTCCCTTGTGTGAATTCTCAGCTCAATAAAGACAGACCAGCGACCAGTCGTGGTGTATTGCTAGCGTCCCAGCGCCCGGCAGAAGCAGCTCCGGTCCCTCCAGGTCACTGGCGGAGAGATTGTACTTAGAAACTGTTGCCTGGAGCAGGTTGAGTTAAAATTTTGGGGACAGAACTTTTGGCAGCAAGAAACCTAGGCCCATCCGGGGAGCCTCTCCTGGCGCTGAGGAAACACACCCCCAGAGTCTGCCCGGGCCATGAATTCTCACCTGGGGGGCAGGCAGTTCCAGGGCGGAGACTTTCTGACCCGGAGCCCCCTCTCCTCCTCCTCTCTTTCACCTGTTCCCTGGGTAATATCTGTCCTCGCCAAGCCTCTTTCACACCTGAAACTTGCTGAGGGAACACTTTTTAAAGGGTTATGGGATCGGAGTGCCCTTAAGCAGAACACTAAGCTAAACAGTTGCTGGAAAGGGAAATCACTGCGGGCAGCCTGCTCTGCTCTGCGCAGGTCCAGGGCCCGGCCCCACCTCTGACGGAGGGAGACGCTGTGCGGTGAACTTCCACCAGGAATAAACGGAGTTCCAGGCTGTGCTAAGTGACGACCAGTAGCTGGTGGGGACAACCTTTATCAGACACCAGTTCTGTGCCAGAAACTGTGCAGGGCGCTTTCCCGAGTGGCAGCAGATCCTCCCCACAGTAGGTTTCATTATGGAGCCGTCTTACAGCTGGGAACCTTAGTTTCATCAACTGCTAGCTTTCTCTGCTTTATTCTTGCCATCCTCATTCTTGGGATTTATGAAAATGTCCAGTCCATTCTCTGAGTGACTTCCAGGCGTCTTCAAACTACGGCCCGCAGGCCACATGCGGCCCGCAGAGGAGTCTGATCCGGCCCGCCAGGTTTTTTGGGCAGTGAGCGCAGCCGAGGTGTTACAGTAGGAATTAGTAGTTCATATAGTCCGGCCCTCCAGCTCTCTGAGGGACCGTGATCTGGCCCCCACTTTAAAAAGTTTGAGGACCCCTGTAAGAGCCTGTTTATCCTCCTAACTGAAACAACTATTGATAAAATAACTGAGGAAGATATATGTATTTTTAAGTCGTTTTAGGACACTGAACGTCAAGGAATTAAGGTAACACCAGTGGGATACCTGATAAATACTTGGAGAGAAGGGGAGGAGAGGGGGAGAGAAGGAAGGAGAGAGGAAGGGAGGAGAGGAAACCCTAGCCTTAGATTTCCTCTCTGCATTAACTCCCGTGGGTTTTAGGTTTGCCTTCCTAAGATTTCAAATGAGAATCAGAGTTTTTACTTTTTTGTCAGCAGCATGAAGTGGCAAAGGCAGATGACTCACAGAACAGTGACAGAACATTTGCTTGTATAAACGCTAAGCAATGCTGACCAGCCTGGATCCTTCCGCTCACTGCAGCCCACAGCGCCCCGGCCCTCACTGTGCCTCTCAGTGGGATGCCGTCCCTCAGGAAACATCCACGTCAGGCAGCAGATGTGAGCATTGGCCCTAAATAGACTGGATGATAGGTCTTATGACCAATGCTTCCTGTCTCTGTGGGCCTTCTCTCCCACGCCTCCCCTCTTTAGGAAGGGTGGGGAGCTTCTGCAAGGAAAGGGCTGGTCCAGATCCTTGTCTCTGACCCCACCTTGAACTTCGAGTTCTTATTACTGTGCTAGTGCTGAGCTGGAACCCACTAAATCAGGCGTCCTCAAACTTTTTAAAGTGGGGGCCAGATCACGGTCCCTCAGAGAGCTGGAGGGCCGGACTATATGAACTACTAATTCCTACTGTAACACCTCGGCTGCGCTCACTGCCCAAAAAACCTGGCGGGCCAGATCAGACTCCTCTGCGGGCCACATGCGGCCCGCGGGCCGTAGTTTGAAGACCCCTGCGTGACTAAATAAAGATGCAGCTTATCAGAGTCATCTATATATAAAAGAGGTAATAGGCAAATTAGGCTGGGACACCGTAACAGTCCTGGCCGGTCAGGAGGAGGTTATGCGTGCAGGACACAGAGACGGGGGGGGGGGGGGGGGGGGGGGGGGGGGGCGCTTGCCTGAGCTGCGGCACCAGCTTGGGTCACCCCAGAGCAGACACTGACAGGGGGCCACTCCAGAGCCAACACCGACAGGGGGGCCTGAGGCTGCTCCAGCCACAGTGTACCAGCAGTCCTGCCTCTGTGTGTGAGCTGAAGAGGAAACATCTTTCCTGACTGCTCATTGGCTAAGCTCCCAGTATGCCACTTGGATAACTTGGGTAATAAGAATCCAAGAAGATGATTTTTTTTTTTTTACTTCATTCCTGGAGGAAAAAATAAAGGTCGGCTGCTGGAGGGGCTAAAAAATGTCATGTCCTGCCCTAGCCAGTTGTCTCAGTGGATAGAGCCTCAGCCTGTGGACTGCAGGATCTGGGTTTGATTCTGGTCAAGGGCATGTACCTAGCTTGTAGGTTCCTCCCTGGCCAGGGTCCAGGTCAGGGCTCATGCAGTAGGCAACCAATTGAAGTGTCCCTCTCACATTGATGTTTCTCTCTGTCTTCCCCTCTCTTCCACATTCTCTAGAAGTCAATGGGAAAATATCCTCAGGTGAGGAAGGAAGGAAGGAAGGAAGGAAGGAAGGAAGGAAGGAAGGAAGGAAGGAAGGAAGGAAGGTCATAGCCTATGAAAGAGACATCTTTAAAATGCCTAATGAAAGTTGTCATTTTTTTCATGGTGAAGGGACTGGAGTCTGTGTTTATGAAAACACTGGCAGCTACAGTGGCTGGCAGTGGCAGCAGCAGTAGAGTGATGGGGGTGGCGCCTTCCCCTGATCAGCCAGTTGCCTCCCACAGAGGAAGGCCAGACTGCAGCCTAAGCTGTCCATAGGACATCCCCTGGGAGTTCCCAGATATGTGAGGGGGGGCAGGCTGGGCTGAGGACTCCCAACCCCCCCAGTGCACAAATTTCATGCACCGGGCCTCTAGTTCTATTATGATTGCCTAATCATGGGGGTGGAGGGGGTCAACCATTTAACACCCTCATGTAACAGGAACAGTGCAGCCCCCTCAGCCCTCTCTGGTGGTAGAAATTTCAGTGCACCATTTAAATAAATCGCAGGTGATCTTAGAAACTCGATGTCTTTGGGTGCTTATAAAGTGTGTTTGGAAAAAGAACAGGGTGGTGATCAGCTCTATGTTCTCTTCCCATTACAGAGCAGACACTGTATTCTAAAGCCCCGTTCCCCTGTCAGATGGAAATAAAGCTGAACTCCCCCAGCCACCTGGGGGCCTGCCTGGCCAGCCCCATCCCGCCTGGCCACCGGCTGACAGTAGGGTTTTCCTTGGGTTTCCTGCAAGGATGTGCCACCACCTAAAGAAATGGGAAGGTGTGGTGGGTAACACAAGAGCCATGCAAATGTAAAATCCAGATACTACGGGTATCAGATGCAAGAAATCCTATCTACCAAAAAGAGATTTCACATGGGAAAAGTAAAAATTGTGGTAAATAACACGTTAATTGGCATTACTAACTACAAGAGGCAGGCATACAAAGAACTTGCTCTTCATTGCTGCTTCGGGGCAGCCATGCCAGTGTGGACTCTGGGTTCTTCCAGCTGTCTTCATGACTGAGATGGGCCCCCAGACCCTGAGCTAGGCCCCCAGGCCCTGAGCTGGGAGAGCAGCCTGCTGGGCCGTAAACAAAGATAATGCCTCCAGGGCGCAGATGCTCAGCTTGGCAGGCCGTGGAGGCTGTCTCTTGGTTCATTAAAGCAACATTAAGATGCCCCTCTTCCCTCTATGTTAATATAAATAATAGAGCGGAAATTTAATTACCACGGCTAACTTAATTAAGAACCCTTTGAAAGTTGCCCCTTCTTCCTGGTGTAGAAAAGATGATTTGGAGTCATTTGTCCTTGCCAGCTGTACCGTTTCCTCCCCCAAAGCGATCCCGGGAGACTGTTTCATATCCAGGCAAAGAACCTGTTAGGGATGGTGCTAAGGGGATGTGGCTTCCCTGATGTAGCACCTTCGCCAACAAGGCGGCTGCAGGACTTGAACTCAGAGCCAGCTGTGCTCACAGGCCCCACAAGCCCTCACTGGAGGGTCTGGGCTCTGGAGCGAACCTGCTGGGTTCCAGCTACAGCCACCAGCTCCCTGGCTGTTGGATCTTGGGCAACCTCTGTCTTAATTTCCTCATCTGGACAACTCAATCAGGTGCTTCCTGGTGACTGGCATATTTCTAGAAAATACACGGGTCCTTTCCTCCCCTTCGTTTTTCTCCCTTATTGAAAATGAGCCTGAGCCTTGTGATAATCTGGACTTGGCAGTCATACCCCAGGGCGTTTGAGCCTCCTTTCACTCACCCCCACGTGGGAGACGGGCGGTTTGCAGCTACGTCATAGAATGAAGAGAAACGCAGGCGCATCCTTGAGCCTGTGAACACAAGATGAAGGCCAGAAAATCGCTTTGCTGTAGCATCTCTCGGAGAGGCCTTAGGAAGCAGACCAGACAGAAACTGCTGAGGACTGAGTTCCCCCATGGGATAGGATACCCAGGCCCTGATGCAAAGACTCAGAAGTGCCCAGAATGGGAGCTGAGTTAACGGCTGCTCTGGGCTTCTCCGGCCAGCTCAGAGCCCACCACAAGGAAAGGCACACAGCTGTGCCCATGCGCTCCTGAGCCTCTGAGCAGAGCCCCTGGCCACTGGAAAGAGAACTGGCATCTCCAGACCACCCAGCTTTGCCGTCTCCGGCCACAGCCCTGCAGCACACAGAGGCCGCCTGGGCTTAAAGGTTGAGTAGCAGCTTCCCCTCTTGCACCCACAGGCTGGGCTGCCCTCTGCTCCCTCCTCCCTATCCCACACCCTCCGCTCTCTCCCCCCTAGCCTGGGGAAGGATGGAGAAGTGCGGGCCTGGGGGCAGTGCTGGGCCTGAGGCCTCCTGCCTCACTGCCCCAGGGGCTGG